GTAAGTTAGATTTGGTTCCTTGTAAAATCAAAAGGTACAGGGAGAGAAAAGCTCTGGAGGAAGTGGGTGTTGACAGAAGCCAGAACAACAGATTTGCGATTTAATGAAAGGATAAGAGAGGATACAGACTATACATATCTTCTATATACACACAAAAAACTGTAACAATATTTGCATCTACCAGATGCTGGGAAGTTGTGAGAAAACATGACCCTTTAATGTCTGCAGGGTAAAAGTAATACGTGCCTTACACGTATGTGGGAAGGAAGAAAAGGGAGAAGGGAGAAAATATGGTGGTGGAAGGTTTAAGAGAATCAAAGGATAGTAATTCCATCTTAACAAGTATTACATTTTTGTGGGAAAGTCTTTTTCAAAAACAGAGAAAAGCTCATATTTTAAAGGCAGTAGGGATTAATCTGCCCTTTAGTCTTACGTGACAGTTGACCACAGTACAAGATAAATGTTATTTGATTTAGAAGTATAGTTTTTCTTTAACGTGCCCTTGAGCATTTTGCTTTATTCCCTCTTTTCTCCCTTTTTTCTGTCTTCTCTTCTCTGTTCTTCCTTGTAGCTTTACTGTCATCGTAGCTGTGGCATGTCTCTCCAACATATGGGAATCATTAGATTCCCAAAGAATGCAACAGAGAGCAAAGAATCAGCCTGGCAATGGTTAACAGTGTCTCAGTGGAGATCCCTGCTTCAAGTTCCTAGTTTTACATTTATTTAGGACCCAAGATGCTATCGGCCATTTAATAACAAACATGCTTGAGTCTAAATGCTATGCAGGTATACACTGTACACTTCTAAGCGTGAAGTCTCTTCCTGTTAAAACTCCCCCACAGTCACCTGTGTTCGCTAATATGAGTTCATTTCGACCGGCACTGGATTTATGTGCACAGACATAGAATTGGAGGATGGATGCAGAGCATAACAGAACTTCCCCTTCATCTGTTTTGGTTCCAGCTGTAATAAAATTTAGCCAAGACCATGTAGTCAAAGTTCTTCCCATCTGCAGTATTTTATACTTGGCAGCATGGCTCTGCTCTGGGAGATTCCTGACTCAATGACAACAGATATGACACTGATAGAGGAGAAGCTGAGGTGGAGGTGGGTGGTAAAGCAGCTTGCAGATGTGCAGAACATTACAATGGCAAAGTGACCTTTGACCTTATGCAACTCAGTTCTTATGTGGGTAAGAACTGAGTTTAACTGAGCTGCTGTAATTATAGTTGCCTAAAATAAGTTACCATCCACGTGCATTGATAAAATTCATTCATGTAGTCCATCCATCCATTTGCTTTGGCTTATCCAGGTTGCAGCAGCCTAAGCAGAGACCTCCCTCACATTCTGATAGTCTACACTCTTTGAGATCTTTGAGTTTGGCCACTTACAACTAAACACAGCTGCTTGACGGCCCAGTACTATATTGCAATTCTTTATTGTTTTCTACATAAGTACTCTGGGCCAGCCTTATATACTGGGAGTCATGAGAGGGAAGTTAGAAAGCAAGCAACCTTAGGTAAGACGTAGGGTCAGAGAATTAGGTCAATATCAGCCAACATGTGTGAATGTGGTTTAAAAAAGAGTGGAATCATTGTCTGATTTGGCCTGTTGACTGTTTGTGTTGGTGAGTGCAGTGCTGCTTATGGGGCGTCGCTGTGACTGCACCACTGAGAATAACATGCTCTGTGATACACTTACTAAGATCAAGTGATGAGCTCTAACCTATAATCTCTTCCTTCTAAAAACTCTTCATCTGTCGTTCACTTTCATCTCTTGATCCTCACAAATGTAAAGCATGTTTCCCTCCAGCTCTTAAAGGAGCAGGCTATTCTACTGCCATCAACTTCATGTTACAGTGAAAACTCCAAACAGCATCACAATTAGATCTGGCATAAGTTCAGTTTCAAAACAATTTACTGGAAATTAATGACATGTGTCATAACCATTGACCCAAGCGACATTATACAAAAGAGAAGATCTTAACCTCCTGAAGTCCTCATCGTCAACAACCCTAACCTTAACGCTCATCCCAGATAAAAAGTTTTTATGAAATTCATTTCCCAAGTCTTGGTAATCAAAGACAAAGAGATATAATCATTTTCGCAAACACTGTTTTTCTCCAAAATATAGGGTTAGGCTTAGACCTCAGAGGGTTAAAACTATATGCCGTCAACCCTTCTTTAAATGCAAATACAATATACATGTTTCATTTTTTGAACTGCAAGACCTTTAAGAGCACATCAACAGCTTGGAAATGTACTGAAGAGACACATTCATCTGGACCCAAACACAAAGTCTCATAATGGTTTGGATAGAAGGTCTTTCCAGCTACGACAGCAGACGAGATACTAATTCTGCTCCAATGGGCGTCTAACTCTTTCCCCAACACAAAAACAATGATGATAAAATGAACTCATTAACTGGACTAGTCATTGACAGCTCAGCAGACTGTGTCATTCTCACTAAACATTGTAATATAACAAAGCAATTACAGAACAGAAATTAATTAACTGGATATTAGTGAAAAGCCATTAATACAGTGAATAATGAGCTCTGACATCATTTCAATTTTCTGCAGTATCCCTGTAGTTGCTGGTGTGGTTGTTGTGGGCTATTGTACTGTCACCACACCCAGCAATGTTCTAACGTGAAATGCATGGCAACATCACTGAAGCATTATCAAGTTTATCAATGGCCTTTACGCTCTGATTAAGTGTCCTGTAGTCCTGCAGTTTACTATATCGTTAGCTTCATAGCATAAGTGCCTAAGTCATTTTTTGGTCAAATTGAGATTTTTGCCTAACTTTACTCCCCTACCACTGCTGCATCATCCTGTCCGTCTGCCTATGTCATCACAAAAAAATGACTTAGGCACTTATGCTATGAAGCTAACGATATATAAGCCTGTCTGGACGCAGTAAAAAGCAGTGAAACTGATTTTGTCTAGAAAGACGTAGCAGCAAATCTGTCCACAGCATTAGTGTCTATGGGTACACAGCTCATGGCAATTACTGACAGCTGACTGAGGAAATTTTCACTGGTGCTAATTTGGCATTATGTGAACACAGAGAGTGAAAATAATGGGGCTCAAACTGTAGTTCACAATGTAAAGCATTATGGGACTTGTAGTTCTAAACCTTGTCTCACAAAAAGTATGGCAAAGAAAAATAACAAGGGTTAAACCCCACAAACCCTCAGTGGGGTCACTGGGGCAATCGTGGCTGGGCGATCGTGGCTCAAGAGTTGGGAGCTCGCCTTGTAATCGGAAGGTTGCCAGTTCGAGCCCCGGCTTGGACAGTCTCGGTCGTTGTGTCCTTGGGCAAGACACTTCACCCGTTGCCTACT